GTTTCATAATGGATTTCAAAATAACTAGTAGAGAGGATTTTAAATGTTCCCAACCCAAAGAGGTCTTAAATAGGCTATTTACCTTAATCTGATCATTACATATTGTATACATGTTTTGAAACAGCACACTGTCTCCCATAAATATGTGCAATTATGAGGCCATTAAAATTTTTTATTCTTTGATAATTTCATACATGTATGCAATGTATTTTGATCATCTTTGCCTTAACTATCTCCTCCAAGGTCCTCCAGTTTTTAAATACATGTATTTAAAATGACCTGGAAATTAGTGATAATGGTTGCACAAAAGACATTCAAAACACTGTCTTATATAATTCAAGATGGTGCTTTTTATGCTGTGTGAACTGTATCTCTATCAAAAACTATTTTAAAAAGAAAAATACCAGGCAAACATTAAACAAAATAAATTGAGTAGATTCATATTGAGTATATTCATATCAGAGGAAAATCTGACTGTAGGGCAGTATGCCACAGTAACCAATTGTTTGATAGTATCAAAAGTAAAACAATTTTAAATCTATTTGTGGTTATCTACAAGCTTAGAACATTGACAAAATTACCAGGAGACTTTAACACATTTTCCACAATAATATGCAACCAAAACTCCAGCAGAATATTGGAACATTTCAGTCAGATTAACAAGCAATATTTAATTGAGGTAAATACAGCACGAATGTAAAATATACATTCTTTTCAAGTGTACATGGAACATTCACCCAAACTGACTGTATAGCACTCCAGGAAGCAAATCTCAAAAGATCACATAGACCTGGAATCATACAACATTTGTTTTCTGGTCAGAATAGAAACAAAGTGGACATGGCAAAGACACTGACCTATCCAAACAGAAGCTGCCCCAAGGGCTGGCACTGAATATAAGCAGCCTCCGGCTGTTCCAGGCATTAATTAACCTCTGCTGCTATATGATAATCAGTAGGCTCTAGCAGTCTTAGAATAGAAACTGAGTGACCAGGGCAACTAGGTAAGTGATAGAAATGGCAGTGTCTATTTATCAAACGGTCTGGAAATATTTAAATTTTGCATGGTAATACATTTATGTATATGTAGAATATTAATCCTGTTTAGTAGGCCAATTATAGATCAGATACTTGTATCAGAAAAGAAGAAAGCTTGAAAATGAATGACATGAGCGTCTAACTCTAGAAGTTAAAAAATATCCGAAAAAGCCAGATATTAATAATGATCAGAAAGATAATTAAACAAAAATAAAGATACAGCAGGAACAAAAAAACAAAGCTGATTCTTTTAGAACCATAAAATTAATAAACTCACAAGATTTGTCAAGAGAAAAAAGAAGGTACAAGTAAATAACAACAAAAGAAGATATAAACAGATATATACGGATACAAACTATACAAATAGATTTGAAAACTTATGAGAAAGTCCCAGAAAATTATAACAAGTCTGACTTACACATAATTCCATAACTTTCAAAAATTGTAGCAGTTAACAGTTAACAGTTTAAGAGACATTAGGAGCACACTGTTCTATCTGGAAGTTCTGCCAAATATTTGAGGAACAGATAGTTCTTTGGACAAACTTTGTCAGAGATGGAATGAAAGAAAATAGTTCTCACCTCATTGCATGGTGTTAGTATAACCTTGACACCAAAACCAGAAAAGGACAACATGAAAATTAGTCTCTCCTGAACAAAATGCTAATGCTCTCAGCAACATTTTAGTGAACTAAATCTAGAAGTATTTTTTTTAATCCCAGAGCTGCGAGATTAGCTAACTACAAGAAAAAACAATGCCAAACACCACAAAAATGTTAAAATAAAAAAGAATCGTGCTGTTTCAGTGGACACAGAAAATAAGCTTTATATATTTCAATACCAACTTCTTTTTAAAATTATAATATCAAACTAAGAAAAAACTGGAACTTCCTTACCTTGTTCAATGTTATCTGCCCCAAAAAACTACCTTAAATTTACTCAGTGGTAACTGCACTCCCTTTAAAATCCAAATCAATCTAAGAATGCATTTTTTTAACATTTTACCTAATTGCACGCGAGCCTGTGGGTTTGTGTGTGCGTGTGTGTGTGTGTGTGTGTGTGTGTGTGTGTGTGTGCTGAAGGTGGGAGATCTTAGCAGTATATTAATGTAAAATATTTGAAAAAACAAAGATAAAATTTCAGGGTAAAAATGAAAGTTTTCATTTTACATAAAAATTGCTAAAACTAATAAAGTTTAGCAATTTTTCCAGCTATAAATTCAGTATACAAAACCAATTATATTTAAATACATTAGCATCAAACTACTATAAAATGTAATTTTCTATAAAGGTACTGCCTACAGTAGCAATAAAAAATCAAGAAAACTTAAAATGAAGTGCAAACCCTTTGTAGATTAAATTATAAAATGTCATTCCGAATAACACGAAAAGGTCTAAAGTCATGAATGGATATACCATGTTCAAGGAAGATTAGATATCACAAAGATTTTAAGTCTATTCAAATTGATTTCTAGATTGAGTATAGTTCCAATAAAATTCCTAAAATTTTGTCCGTGTGTGTGTGTGTGTGTGTACCTTAAAAAGATGATTCCAAAATTCATGGGAAACAGGACTTGGCCAAGAATAGTTAAGGCAACACTCTATAAGAAGGACAAAATAGGAAAACTTGCTCTACCAGGATAAATGTAGATGAATGTCAATTATGCTATTGTTCACAGCTAAAAACTAAAAATTACCTAAATTGTCATCAATAGTAAGATCAATAAAACATGAAATACTCACAAAATGTAATCATACACAGCAAGGAAAAATAAACAATCTACAAATATGTGCAACAATAATGTGGATGGCTCACATAAACGTAATGTTGGCTAAGAATATATGTAGCTATATTTCACACATGGTCATAACTTTAATCCTCAAAACAAAATTGTTGATTCTATCTTTTGGAGAAGATGCTACAAGCAAAAAGTAATTCACACCTTTCTAGAGTCAACAGCCTGCCTATCTAGCCAGGAAGATGAGGCAGGCATTGCTGAAGGCAGAACTTGGTGATCATTATTCACATGTATTTTTCTTAACATTTGTGGTCTGACAATATTCAGCTGATCACTAAAGAATGTCTTGTGTACACAGAGCCCCATAGCTGGCAGTTGTGAGAGGTAAGAGTGAAAGTAGCACAGAGTGATCATTTACTGATCATCTGTCACGGGCCAGGCTGAGGGCTTGATACTGGGGATATGGCGGTGAATAGGACCATCTTCTTGTTTAAGTAATAACGTTTACTGAGTGAACACTGTGTGGTAGGCATTCCTCCAAGCACTTTACCCACTTTAATTCATCTAATGTTTGTAGCAACACTGTTAGCAACATCACTTACAGGTAAAGAAACAACGCAGAGAAGTTAAGAGGCTTGTCTAAGGTCACAAAGGCAGGAGGTGGGAGTGAAACCTAAGCAGTCTTACATCTGTCTGGTAGGTATCATTTACAGTCAAAGAAAGTGGGGTTTAGAATTAAAGTGAGTCCATATTTATTCTGTTTTGGGGGGGTTGTTCTTGCACTGTTTTGCTTGTTTTTGAGACAGTCTCACCTTGTACCCTTGGCTGTTTGGGAACTTGCTGTGCAGCTGAGGCTAACTTCAATCTTGAAGCAGTTCTCCTGTCTCTGCTTCCTTAGTGCTGGTATTTGCCTCCATGCTCAGCTCTACTGTGTACCTTCTATATGAATATAAGGGGATTAATGAATCTTGTCTCTCCGATTCAAAAGGCAGATTTTTCCGGAATGTAGGGGGTTTTAATCTGGGCGACCCATGCATACACAATGAATTCATTGTCAGTTATATCCAACAGAATCAAGAGTGGTTGCATGGGTAAGGGTGGAATGTTCTGTCTCATCCAGACTCCTGCATCTCCAGATGAGTGACTAGGATTGCTGATGAAGAGAAGATGGAGAACAGGATGCTAGATTTTGTCTTCCATTCTTCTTCTTCCATGCATATCCTCTAGCCTACATAGTAAATTTAAGATCCTACATCTTCCTGGAACCTCTATGATAAAATGCTGTTCCCAGTATAGCTTTAAGCCTAGACATTCTCTAGCATTTGGAGTGTTACAGCTTGGTCATATGGTTTTTGAGATGGCTGGATCCCATAGTCCACAGCTGTCTTATCTCCATCCACTCTCTGGCCCCTCAAACTGTAATTTTTTGGTTGTAAACACCTTGATCCAAAATTATCCTCTGTTATCTGTGGGAAATGGTATACTTCATGTTTTTTTTAAGTTATAAGTTTTGACAGTATACTTCATGGTTTTAAGTTATAAGTTTTGACCATCCTCTTTAAATTTCCAAAGTAAGTACACTAGCATATTGTCCAGAGACAGCCTTTTCTCTCAAATTCTCAGAACAGTAAGAACGTCTACAAATGCTCATGCCAAGAAGGCAATACGGGAGACTGATACATAGCTTTTTCCAGCCCATGTAGGTACAGACTTCTTAGAAAAGGCTTGTGAAAGGAAAGGAGCAATGCTGACCAGTGACATTGGTGGTGTTGTGTACCCAGCACCTGTCCTCTGAGAGATGATGCCAGGAGCTATCACCTTATTTCACCCAGACATAAATTAGACAAAACACATTCCCAGACCTTTCATAAAAGAAGATAGAGAAAACATTCTAGGTTAGCACCGAACAGTCTTATATTAGAACACTCACATTCTCAAAAAGAAGCATTCCAAACAACTCTCAATTCAAGAGGAAAAGCTCTTAGTCGGAGATCCCTGTGCTTTAGATGGTCAGTACCTAATCATTCGTTGTTTTCTTCTCTACCTGCCTTTCCTTCTTGCTTTCCTTACCTTTTCTGATATTAGTGTCTTGTTATCCTAGAGCTGTTTCATTCAACTGCCCATCTATTTCAACTTCTAAGTTAAGGTGGGAGTGGGTGGGGGAGGCACCCTTCGATCTGCGAGATTCACCTACCCCCACCACCCATGGAAGTAAACCCCACTTACAGCCCCTTCGCCGTTGCAGCATGCTGCTACTGCTGCTGTGAGGAATCCAGATCTTCTGTAACCTGGTTTGAGTGAGCTCTCCCATCTCTTGAGACATCTTGGGTGTTGTAGCTAATGACTCTACCGCACACAAAGTACTGGGCCTCACTTCCTATCTTCCTAGCTGCCCTTTCTGCTGTTGTAGCCACAGCAGCTGGTGGACAGGACCAGGACAGGGGTTGCACTCAGCTTCTGAGCCTCTCACAGATTGTCTCCTGCTCCCTCTTTTTCTTCAAACCCTAGTCAGCCTCTGCTCCTGTATATACCAATGGGAACTTGGGTACTGAGAGCCAAAGACCGGGCAGAAGTCAGCAGAGGCCTCCGAACTCCAAGGGCTGTGTACATAGACGATAAGTTGGAGCCCAGTAAGGAAGGCAGCCAGCAAGACAGCCCAGGTCTGACCAGTCACTTCCTGCCAATGAAGACAGGGCTAGTAGAGCATGCAAATCAAAGACCAAAGATCATGTGTTCACATCCAGTGTGGGGTGGTACAGCAAAGGTGTGGGAGGTAGGTCTCAGTTTTGAAATAAAAAAGCAGGCCAAGTAGAATGTCAAGCTCCAGCCCAGAAACAGAGACAAACACAAAGTTCCTAATTCAAAATGCAATGTTTGAGCTAGCAATTAAAAGTCCAAACTGGAAGTAGATATTCACTGCCTCACTGCTCACCACTACCCAAAATGGCATTGCAGCACTGTTTTCTCTTGGATTCTGCACCTTTTCCCTCCGTAGGACCTCTCCCTCTTAAAATGTGCTGCTCGAGGCACTCTTGGAGAGATTGGCATTATCTGATCATCTCTATACTCTATCCAGCCAAGGTTAAGTAAATCAGGATAAACCTGACACCTTGGGAAGAGGAGTGAGTGCAGCCATTGCTGGGCAGAGAAATAAGTAAGCACCAATGGCTGCCAGTGCTATGAGATGCTCTAACAATACAGGCATCATAATCTGATCCAAAACATGGCTGAAGTTCTTCATGTCACGATGTTGGAATGGAGGCTTAGGAGGGTGGAAGCTGCATCAGGGAGAGTGTAAAGAACAAAAAGCCATGGCCTCTATCTAAATAGCACAAATCCACAGGTGAGAGCCATCACATCCAAATGTCTCCCTTTCACTCTTTTTGCCACCCTCCCTCTGGTTATTTTGGAACTTTTATCTGTAGAACTCATGTAACTGCACAGCTTGCCTGGAAGATATCCAAGTGTGCTCTTACTTCATTCTTTTGCAATCTTCCCTCCCCTAATGGACCTCCAGTGATTTGCTACTAGGAAGCTTAACTTTCTTCCACTAAACTGGACTACACAAGTGCAATCTCTTGGGAAAGGAAATCTCCAATCCCTGCCTTCAAATGCTCCCAGCTCTACTTGGCCTTTTAAGAAACTCCCTAAAATATCTTCTTAGAACTTTATTCTATACAAGGGTTAGAGTCACTTCAGTTGCTGTGTATATAGCACATAAGACTTTCAGTATAAAAACTCACCCAAATCTAAATGAGTCTATCAAGGCAATGGATCACAGCAGTTAAGGACAATGGATTCTGAAGTCACATTGCATGAGGTGGAATCCCATTCCCTGCCCATTGGTGGATATGAGACACTGGGCAGAAGATTGAACTTCTGTTGCCTTCGTTTTTTGGTTGTTTTTTTTTTTTTTCATTTGGAATATGGGAACGACAGAAGTGCCTGTTCTCTTAGGGTTAACGAAGATTCAATGTACTATTATTACATGGAAAGCAACCTGGGGAATGCTGAATATATGTATTATTTAACACTATTTATTATTTAATACTCCCTTTGTGAATAAATGATTAGACATTTTTTCAAGTAATTTGCAACTTCTATCAGTCATAGAAATGTATAATATTATGACAAAGGCTTGACATTTATGTTGTAAAGAGTTCCTGAGAATCAATTAGAAAGACAAACTCATTTCTAGTTAGCTGGTTTTAAAATATTTATTTATTTATTTATTATTTTATGTGTATGAGTGTTTTGCCTGCATGTATCTAAGTGCACCTATATGTGGAATGCCTGTAGAGGCCAGAAGAGGACATCTGATCCCCTGGAACTGGAGTTACAGATGGTTCTTAGCTGCCATGTGGGTGCTAGGAACTGAACTTGGTCCTCTGCAAGAGCAGCCAGTGCTCTTAAACACTAGAGCCAGCTCTCAGCCTTAGTTTTCTGTTTTTATGTAAAGACGAGTTAAAGCTGGGGTGTCCTCTATAGGTCATTTTTTGAAAGTGCTAAAAAGGGGCATATATTCAAAGTACATTATATACTTGCATACAAATGTCCTTATATTAACTCATTGTAATAATTTTTTAATTAAAAAGAAACAGACCCAGAGAGGGTTCACACAATAAATCGGTGACCAAGTCAGGAGAATACTGGGGAACATAATTTCTCCCAGTCCAGGGCTTTGTTTAATTGATCAAGCTAGCTTGATTTAAGAATGTGGTCTTTTCCATGTTAGGTGAACTAAGTTTGGCATAGAAAGTCAAATAAAGCATGTTCACACTTATTTCCAGAAGCTTTAAAAGTTGGTAAGAAGTTGAGAGTAGAATAGGGGAAGAAGGGGAAGGGGGTTAAAGAGAGAATGGTGAACAAGTACAGTATACAGATGGGTAGGAGGAATAACTTCTGTTCTAAAGCGAACTAGGATAAATACGGTTGAAAATAATTATGTACTTGAAAGTAGCTAGTAGAGAGGATTTTGAAAGTTCTCAACACAAAGAAATGATAAATGTTTGAGGTGATAGATACACTAATTAATCATTGCATATTATGCACATGTACTGAAATAGCACACAGTACCTTATAAATATGAACAACTGTGTCAATTGAAAATAAAAAGTTAATGTGATATTTAAGACTAGCACAGAATTTCTAGAGTCTCAGAAATAGACTTTGGAAGAAGACATACTTATATCTTAATGCTAACTAGTGCCTGACTGGTATAAGTCTGTCTTAATGATCTTACTGTGACTCTGTGTATTTTCAGATGCCCACAAAGCAACATTTCACTTATCTTATTTGTTCCTTACAAACATCCTCACTAAACACTTAGGGAAACTAGGGTTTGGGGAAGGGAAATGGCTTGCCCAAGGTAATCTAACCAGTGGCATGAACATGTCTTTTATGTTTATAGTTCTGACTTTATGACATTGCCAAGAGACAGGAAGATAATTTTAGTAGCAAGAAATCTGAGCTAGTTGGCTAGTAGGCTTTTGACAAGGTCTAAAAGGGTAAAACCTGGGATCCAGATTGAAACCCTTATTGAAATCTAATGAAACTATGAAATTTAACCACTGTTACCAATTCTGAGCCCAGAAACATAATAAGCCTTATAGAAATGCCTCAGATGAGCATTCGAGCCTCTTCTAAATCAAGCTGCAACCTATATATTTAGTCTTCTATCTCCTTAAACCCCCATGTTTAAACTACACTGATTGACTCACTTTTCTCCAAAACATAGCACATATTTTCCTTTCTTTGGCCTTTTGCTCAGCCAGGATTACCTCCTATTCACTGAAATCTGACTCATTCTTCAAGGCCTGTTTCAGTGTTTACCTCTCTAAGAAGTCACTCTTTAGAGAAGTTTTGTCTTTGTTTCTCACATTGCCCATGTGCCTCCATATAAGCAAGTTGTTCCGTGGTCTGCTACTCAACTAGACTGTGGGCTCCTTGAGGATGTGACCTGGATCCCTGTTATCTGTTGACTGTCCATCTCCAGTGACCATTTGCAGTCTACATTTCTCTGCTGCAGATGACATAAACATGGGGATTAGAAATCCCAGTTAAAGAAGGTAGGTGTTATAACAGCTGTCAAGGAAGTGAATGGGGAGTTGACTTAATCTGAAGTAAAACGTGGCATCTAAAGTTTCTCAACATCAGGACAGAACAGAAAAACAAAAGAATGAAAATCCCTCTGAGAAGGTCCAATGAATTGGTTACAGAGAGAGGATTCACTCAGCATCACATTCATACTTAAGACTTAAGAGCGAAAGCATACATTTTATTTAAAGTGGGACTATTTCTATGGAAGAAAAGTATACAGTAGAACTTTTGGAGTCACATAGAGCCTGGTTTCTACCTTCAAGTAAGGAGTGTGGAGCGGAATCCAATTTAAAACAAGACAGTGCTGTTAGGCAATAAAATCATAAATAGTATCTCCTTATGGGTAAGTCTTGGAATGTGTGGGTGTGAATGCATATGTTGTGGGCTAGACGGCTGAAGGATGGTTGATCACATGTTTATAGGCTAGGTTCATGTATGAGTACATATTAGGACTTTTGTGACAGTAGCCTAGGCTCTCTTCCTTCTCAGCCACTGTCCTGGTCCATTATTCCACTATTTTCAGGCTCCTATCTGGGCCCCAAAACTTAGTGCATTCTAGTTCCAGGAGTGGTTCTCCATTGGCCATAGTCACTCAAGGAGGAGAGCACTTGGAGAGTTGTGGGAGTACTTCCTATGGATGCCACATAAAAAGCAGGACCACTCATTTCAGACATAGCATTAAAGTTCTAAATGTATCCAAAGACCTTTGAATTCTGCCCTCCCATCCCTCTTGATCTTCAGGTCAGACCTCTGTGGGAAACAGGCTAGGGACTTTAATGTTTATACTTTACTATGGTATCTACCCACATCCAGAGAAACTAAAAGTCTTTTTTAAAGTATCAACCCTACTTTATACACTAGAGAGGAAGTCAGAGATGTAATCTTTATTGTACATTTAATTCAAAACTGTACTACATAGCTGGAAGCTAAAGTGGGATGATTGCATATTCAAGGCCAGTCTTGGCTACATAGCAAATTTCAGACCAGCATGGACATAGTTAGACCCTGTCTCAAAAAAACGCAGTTCCAAAGATACCAAGGAATTGCCGGTGTTCTACAAAGTCAAATCCAAATGGATTTTAAAATACCAACAGATAGATTAGATACATATCATCTTTTCCCAACTCTCCTATACCCTTTAATACACACCTCAACCAAACTCCTATGCAAATAAAAAAAAAAGTTTCCAGAGAGCCTGAAGAAAGGATTTTGATTTGTGAAACTCCTGCTTACTTTTCCTTTTTTCCCACTTACCTGTTCTCTTAGAAGCTTTCTCTTCCATTGCTGATTATCCGATGGCTCTCGTACATTTACAGATCCCCAAAGCAGGTCTAGTGGGTGGCATTAAAGAAGAAACATGGAGATATCTGTTGGTTCCTGGGAAGGCTGAGGAAGCACCCTTGTTAAGGGGTGTGTGTACCGTGGTGAAGAATCAGCTGTTATAACTGCCAACGAAGTTCCTGAGCCATCCGGAGCCTTTTCAGTCCAACCATGTGTTCACCTTGCCCCAAAGGTCAAGACTAATATTAAGCCACTGCAGAATGGGGAAATTAAAACCAGCTATTGAGACAAGCAAGATCTGGATTTCTTTGGGACTGAGTTTCAGATCTATCTTCAGTGCAAATGGGCACAATCCCATGCTGGAAAGCAATCTGGTAACATGAAGAAAAATGTTCCCTCCCTTTGTCCTAGTTAACCCACTCCTGGGACTCATTCCTTAGCCAGTAACTCCCAAAGCATGAAAAAGCCCAAGGCACATTTTAAAAAATTACAGGGCTGTTTTCTGAAGGCAACAACTAGTAAGTAACCTTTCAGTCCACTGGGGGTGGGGCCCCAGGCCACTGTGATTCTTTCTGCAGTCACTGAGGATAATGATTCTAAGGTTATGAAATTCCAGGGGGGGAAATAATTATGCTACAATTCTCAGTGAGAAGCCTTAGGATGTAAAGTTATACTTTTCCATAGAAATTTAGCTGTGTCTGTTATTTCTGTTTCTGTGCTCTCAAAGATGTCATAAACCTGTTGTTATTATTGCCATTTATTCTTTCATCTTCTATATATCTATTCTATGTTGTGTCCGGTATTAGGAAATGGAACAAGATTAATTAGAGATGATCACTGCAATCAGGCTGCTGGCAACAGAAATAGAAATCAGTGGTAGCTGTGTATTGTAATAAGTGCTGTGATGCCCATGGGAAAAGATTTAAATGCAGAGGTCTGTGGTCAGGAAATCTTACTCAGGAAAGCAATCCTCTAACTGATTAAGAAAGGTTTGAATCCTGGCTCTACCACTTCTGTGAGACTGAAATGAATTTACTCAACTTCTACTTAACTTCCATGTCCCTTCCTGGTTTATCGTAAGAATAAAATGAGCCAATATAATACAGGAAATTGTAGCTGTGTCAGGAGACAACACTGTTCTGAAACTTAAATTTTCCGGGTCTTGATTTTACTCATCTGAAAAATAGAGCCAAATTAAGTATATATCCTGTCACATCTTTCTGGATGCTATGAGACTCAAGACAAATATGGCTACAGGGAGACTTTGAGGCAGTCTCCTGCCTCCAGCTCCAATAAAACGAGAGGCCATCGTCCTAAGTTGTATCCTAGTGGCTTGGTTCTTTTAAAAAAATATTTATGTGAATGTGTCTGCCTGAGTGTATTTATGTGCAACACATACATGCAAGTGATTGCGAGCCACCATGTGGGTGCTGGGAACCAAATCCAAGTCCTTTGGAAGCAAATGCTCTTAACTGCTGGTTGAGCCATCTCTCCAGCCTTGTGGCTCAGTCCAACTAGTGCCTCCTCCAACTGGGAAGTTCCTTTCACCCTCGCAGGATGGGACCCCAGGGACATCTGCGCAGTACTCTTAAAAGGTCAGTCTGTCGCACTGGGGGTGGGGCTTCAGCTGAGCCCAATTCCCCAGAAGCCCACCCCTTGGAAGGTGATGAAATCCCGTTTATTTAATTTGTTATTTTTATTTTATGTGTATGAGTATTTCCTGCATGTGTGTAAGTAGACCCGAGTACTTCAATGCCCGCAGAAGTCAGAAGAGGGTGTTGGATCCCCCTGGATCCACCGTGTGGGTGCTGGGAATTGAATTTGGGTCCTCTGCAAGAGCACCCAGTTTTCTTAACCGCAGCACCCGAAATCCCGTTTTTGAGTAACCAGATGTGTCCAGGGTACTTTCGGGTGGAGGAGAAAAGCAGTCAGGAGTCCAGGCCAGTTTGTTCACCACTTCTCGCCATTCACTCTCTTCCCCGGTTTTCGGACAGGGTCTTGCCTTTGAATTCGTAGTGAACGCTGCCTCAGCCTCTCCAGTACAGCGGTTCCCAGAGAGCACGACCACGCCCAGCTGCTCTTCTTCCTTAGGATCTGCTCCGCCCCTTCAGCCTCCGGCTTAGTTCCGCCTCCCAACAATGAAACTGAGTTCGAAGTCCCGCCCTGCGTGCCTGCACCCTTTAGAGGAACAGAGAAGAACGCCTGCGCAAACTCGCGAGGAAGGCGGGGCTTAGATAACTTCCGGGTTACAATCAACTTGCCGGCGCCTAGGCGTCCTTTAGGAAACACCGTGTGCCAAAATGCTGCGCGTGGTAAGCTGGAACATCAATGGGATCCGGAGTCCCCTGCAAGGGGTGGGATGCCAGGAACCCAGCAAGTGTTCTACTGCCTTGCGACGCATTTTGGACCAGCTAGATGCCGATATTGTCTGTCTCCAGGAAACCAAAGTAACCAGTGAGCATGCTCCAGGATATCTACCGCGTTTCCGTCTCCCGCTAATTTTTGCCGCCTGCTCCGTTTTATTTCACTTTTCCATTTTTCTGTACTTAGAATCCTACCTCAAAGTCACGATCCCTTCCCTCTTAAGCACTCTCCACCCTAGCTACATCCCCTTAATTCCTATTCCTTCTTCTGTCCGCAGATCTTTAATTGCCTCCCCCTTGTAACCCTCATGAACAGATTCCCACCCATTCTACCACCTGAACTTGGTGTCTCGAATTTTCTTCCTTCGCATACTATCTTCCACCCCTAAGTCAAACCCCTCAGTTCTCCATCCCTGCCCCAACCTCAGTCTTTTTTAAAAATGTATTTATTTTTATTTTATGTGTATGCGTGTATTGCCTGCATGTAGGTAAGTGCACCTGTGTCATGCAATGCCCTCGGAGGCTGTTGGATCTGGATCCCCTGGAACTGGAGTCATGGACAGTTGTTGGCTGCCATGTGGGTGCTGGGATTCGAACCTGGGTCTTCTGCAAGAACAACCAGTGTTTTTAACCGCTGAGCCATCTCTCCAGCCCCCCAACCTCAGTCTTTTAATTCCCATTCTCTTTGCCCTCAGCTCATCCCATGACAATTCCTCTTTTCTCTGCCACCTTTTGTCCATAGCTCAGAGCCCCCTGATTCCTGTTTCATCTGCTATCCTAAACTTAGACCTCCTGATTTCTTCTCCCATTGGAGCCAGTTCATATCCCGATTCCCTCTTCTGCCTTCTACCTTCGCCTCAGAGTTCCAAGTCCTCTCTCATATCTCCAGTCCCTACTGCCAGCCAGCATCCTCCCTCCTCCCGGGAATCAGTTCTCCTATCACCTAGACCACAAGACTTAGCTCTCCCCAGCTGTCCTCACTTCCCCTCTAATTTTGTAATCATTTCCCTTTGTGACTTTTCCATCTTTCTAGCTTCCTCTAATCATATTCTTCTTTTTTTCTCCCATCTATGGCTCTGATGTATGCTAGCAATTAACCAACAACTGTAATTCCAGGCTTGTGTGTGTCCTTGGTTCTAGTTTTACCTCTGACATTTTTTTTCCAGGAGATGTACTGACAGAGCCCCTGGCTATTGTTGAAGGTTATAACTCCTATTTCAGCTTCAGCCGCAGCCGTAGTGGCTATTCTGGTAAATGGGGTCTTCTGGGGTATTAGTGGCTATTCTGGTAAATGGGGTCTTCTGGGTATTTAAGTTAGTGTTGGTGAAGGGGGCAAGTAGAGGAAAAGAGTTCTAATATCTAATGAGAAGGAAATATGTTTGGACTTTTAGTCTACAAAGCTCAAGCCCCATAAGATTGGGTTGTATGTGATCTAGTATTTAGGTATAAAATTATCCTCAAAAGTGCAGTAGTGTCATGGTTAGTTGTGTGAGCCCAGGAGCTGGACTGCCAGGGCTCATGTCATGACTCACTTCCTAGCTATGTACCTTCTAGAATGTTACTTTACCTTCGTGTCTCAGGTTTCTCAGCTAGAAAATGAGGATAATTCTTACTTTCTAGGCAGTTACAAAGATTAGATATATTTATATTAACACATGATAATAGCTAATGTATTAACATTTACCATGTATCCATGTAAAGTACATTAGCTTTTGTTGTTCTGTGACTTTTTTTTTTTGGCCCTTTGAGACAGGGTTTCCCTGTAGCCCCAGCTGGCCTGGAACTCACTATGTAGACCAGGCTGCCCTTGAACTCACAGAGATCCACCAGCCTCTGCCTCCTGAGTGCTGGGATTAAAGGCTAGTGCCACCACACCCAGCTGTTCTGTGACTTTTTTGCATGAAGGAACTGAGGCTTCAGGGTATGGGTTAGTTGCCTCAGACTACAGATGGCCCTTGAATTGGGAAAATTCTTATTACATAAAAAAGCTGCATTTAACAAATGTAAATCAAGCTGTCCCTTGTCTGGCTACAATTGGAGTACAACAGGCTATTCAGTAGGCTGTTGGCTGCTAATCCAATTCAGAATATCCTCTCTATCCCCAGGTGTGGCCACCTTCTGTACAGACAGTGCTACCCCAATAGCTGCTGAAGAAGGCCTAAGTGGCCTATTTGCCACCCAGAATGGGGATGTTGGTTGCTATGGAAACATGGATGAGTTCACCCAAGAGGAACTCCGGACTCTGGATAGTGAGGGCCGGGCTCTCCTTACACAGCACAGGATCTGGTAATAGCCTATCTCCTTTTGCCATGGAGCATTGCTGGTTCTAGTCTTAGTGTAGAGAATATAAGGATAGCCTTATAAGCATGCGTTCACTATAAAAAAATTCCCAAATTTGCCTTCCTTAACTCTAGTCCTGGCTGTGCTGCTCACTGTGTGATCCTGGCAAATCATGTTCCCCTCTGAGCCTTGAGTTTCCATCTCTATAGTGTAGGCCAAGGCAATACAGCTCTGTAATTACCACAGGCGCCTCACAAACAACTTAGCCAGCCCAGATCTCATTGCCCCAAATTGTTCTCTTTCTGGGTGTCTTCTCTTCATGAATGACAACATGGCCACCCAGTTTACCTGTGTGTCACCCTTCATGCCCCCCACTTGCCTCACCTGTGTTCATTCTCCAAGTCCAGTGCATGCCTGCTTGCTTATGTTTCCTTAACTCCTCTTAACCATTAAGTAGAAGCCTCATGGCATGGATATGGAAGGGAAAACTTGAAACTGACCCCTTTTGGGGGGCTCTTTTCTCCCTAGCACACAGGAAGGGAAGGAGAAGACCTTGACCCTAATCAATGTGTACTGCCCCCATGCGGATCCTGGGAAGCCTGAGCGGCTGACCTTTAAGATGCGTTTCTATCGCCTGCTGCAAATTCGAGCAGAAGCCCTCCTGGAGGCTGGCAGGTACTGTAGGTCTAAGCATCCATCCAGAGTTCATTGAACTTATCTGGGTGTCAGCTGTATGTCATGCTGCATGAAGAGACATAGAATCTTTGCCTTTGGGTTCCTTCACAGTCTTGTTGCAGACACTGCTATGCCCAACTGAATAGGCTTTGCTGTCTTAAGAGCTGTTAGGACAAGGTAAAGTGACATGAGCATAGTCTTTGTACTCTGAGCACTTATCCTGGTTCTTATTGTGAGCTTTAAGGCCAGCACTATTTATGTTCTCTTTTCTCAGTGAGTGTGTGAATTCCTACCACATAGAAGAGTTTTGAGAATGAAATGAGGTGAGGGTAGTAAAGGGCGTGGGAGCAAATGAAAGGCTTGTTCCAAGGATGGGCAGGAAGGGTTAGAGGATACTCCTCCAAGAAGTGGTGCCTGAGTTCAGCTGTGAAGGATGAACTAAATAGCATTAGGTGGAGATCATTGAAGCATTCATGTCAAACAGAAGTGTTACCTTTGGAGCTCAGAATTTGGTTGGTCATGTGTGAGAAGCATCCAGATTGTGGCAAGATGGGAGAATGGTAGAGGCACACTGCTACTGAACAGCTGGTAAGAAAGCCTCTGAGTGAGAGGCAGCCTTTCTGAGCCCTTTGGCCTTGGAAAAATATATGGGCCAGGGCTATTCCCCTTTCTTGAAAGTCTAGTTGACAATCTCACATTGTGTTTTTTTCAGCCACGTGATAATTCTGGGAGACCTGAATACAGCCCACCGTCCCATTGACCACTGTGATGCAAGTAGTCTGGTAAGGCTTCTTCTAGGTCCCAGACCCCACTCTTGTTCTGTTTACCCAAACAACCAATGCTAGGAGTTTTGCACAAGAGGCAGCTTCCTTTCTGGAAAATCGGGGCTTAGTTTGAAATATGCTTTTTTGTTCCGAAGTGACATGTAGTAATTGTAGATATTTATGGTGTACTGTGTAATATTTTAATGTGTATGCAACGTATAATGATCAAATGGGTTAAAATTTCATATCTGTCACCTCAAACATTTGTTTCTCTGTGGGGAAACACTCAAAATTCTTTCTACTACCTGTTTTGAAATATGTAATTGTTACTATAGTCATCCTACTCTGCTATGGAACACTAGATCTTTATCCTCCTATCAAACTATACTTTATACCCATTAACCAGCCCTTCTCTATCCCTCTCTTCCTACCCTTCCCAGCCTCTTGTAACTACTATTCTACTATACTACATGAGATCAACTTTCTAAGCATCCATATATGAGTGAGATCACATGGTATTTGTATTTCTGGGTTTGACTTGTTTTCATTTAACATGTCTTCCAGTTTCATTCATTTTTCTGCAAATGACAAAGCTATTCTTCTTTATAACTAAGTGGTAGAGTGTCTTTTATGTGTATTATTTTTTAAAATATTTTATGTATTATTTTTATTTTATGTGTATGAGTGTATTGCCTGCATGTATGTGAGTGCACCCATGTCGTGCAATGCCGCGGCAGTCAGAAGAGGTCTTTGGAGTCCCCTGAACTGAAGTTAAGGACGGTTTGTAGCTGACATGTGGGTGCTGGGAATCGAACTCAGGTCCTCTGCAAGAGCAGCCAGTGCTCTTAACCACTGAGCCATCTCCAACCCCATGTGTATTATTTTTTATTTGTTCATCAATGTATATGTAGGTTGCTTGTGTGCCTTGACTATTGTCAATAATACTACAGTGAACATGGGAGTGCAGATGCTTCTTTGTCAAACTCATTTTGTTTGGATGGATCCCTAAAGGGATTGCTGGATCGATTAGTAGTTTTATTTTGAACTTGAGGAAATTCCATACCATTTTCTAAAATGATGGCACTAATTTACATTTCCATCAGCAGTATATGAGAGTTCCCTTTTCTGTTACCCTCGTCAGCATTTGTCTTTGATAATACCCATTCTAACAAAAGTGAGATGAAGATGATATCTTACTATGGTTTTCTCATTATGTAATTTCCCTGACAATTATGTTGAACACTTTTTTCATATATGTTGGCCATTTATATGTCTCCTTTTGAGAAATGTTTATTCAGATGACTTGTTCAGTTTTGGGAGGGCAGGGTCTTACTGTGTAGCTCTGACTGGCCTGGAACTCTCTATGTAGACCAGGCTGGCTTGGAACTCACAGAGATCTACCTGCCTCTGTCTCCCACACTCAGCCCTCACTTGCCCACTTTTGAATCATACCTATTTTTGATGTTCAATTGTTTGAGTTCTTTTTATGCTCTGGATATTAATCCACGTCGGTAGAGTAATTTGAAAATATTTTCTGTGTGTATTATCTCTTCACTCTATTATTTCCTTTGCTATGTAGATACTTTTTAAATTTTATATAGTCCCATTGAAATACTATTCTAAAAGTGTTAATGTTTGGTCTTTTATTCAGTGGTTAAGAGCAATGGCTAACAACCATCCATAATTCCAATCCAGGTGATCTGGCGCCCTCTTCTGTCCTTAACAGGAACTACATGACATGGGTGCACTTACACACATATAGGCATGACATACAAAATAAAAATAAATTTAAAAACAAGTTGGGGTGGAGAAAAGCAGCATAGCCTGTGTAGATTCTTCAGCATTTCCTTTCCCACTGGTTCAGGCAGGCACCCTCTGAATGATCTTATGACCCAAGATCAGGCAAGGCTCAGTCCGAGAATCTCTAGAGGCAGGGAGAGCTTAGTTTATATGATCTGTTTTGGGGAAGAAAATTTCTAGTTTCTATTGCTTGAGGAGAGCTATAAGCCAGGAGCAATGGATTAAACAAGATATATCATAAGTTCTAAGGCATGATCAATGTTGGCATGGTCCAACTCAGCTCTGGACTTGGTTCAGAAAAGGGGCATGGGAAGGTTCCTTCATTAGTGTGCAAGAGAACCACATAAAGATACATATGACTCTTGGGAAGATGAGCAGAACCAGGATAGTGAAGTGGTGGTGGTGTGCAAAGGAGGTAAGCACTGTAAAGTACAAACCTCTATTCCCTCCCTATCTTATAATTCACTTACTCGTTCTTTCAGCTTCCTGCGATAGTGTTATATACCATTTTGCCTTCTCCATTTAGTTCAGAGCTATGCTAGATATCTTCAATTCATCTCTCATTATTCCTTCCAAAAAAAGAACTAATCATAGCAGATTGGATAACAAATATGGTCTTTTCGAAATAGCAGAACATGTCTACTTCCTAGCAGAGCAGCTCTAGTTTTCTTGTCTCTAAATAGTCCCATCATCCTCTTGGTTGTTCATAGAAGCTTGGGAATTGTGCTCTTCTTGTCCTACTTTACTCCCTCCCAGTCCCATACTCTGTAAGTGGGTATTATTTGTTCCATCTCCAAATTATCTCATGATTTCATTTTGATGTCTTCTTTGGCACCACCCTAGTCCAAATGTTCAACACCTCTTGTTGGCATGAACTATGACAGTCTTATCCTATTGGAATCCCCAGTCTGGCTTCCCCTCAGATCTTTTAGGTGTGCTGGGTCCATCCTCTACAAGCGGGTCATGTCACAGAGGCTGTTTTTGCAGTTTGGAGCCCCCTGTGCTGACTTTGCTCCCACTGGCCTTCACATTTTGTCTGTCTCCATGTCATTTTGCCAAAGGAAGCTTCCCTTGTTACCAAGACTAGGTCTGCTTTGCTTCTAGCATCACACCTGTCACAAAACAAGTAATCTGTGAATGCATTGTTGCACTGAATCAATGGTTGGGTGAGTGGTTATATTGGATAAATAGATCTGGGATCAAAGACAAAGGACCCATTCAGGCATGGATGCCTGTAGCCCCTAAGCTCCTAGAGGAGGGAAGGATGGTCAGTGAGGAGATAAGCCAGTTGAGGGGGGTGTTAGAGGAAAGACAGCATTCTTTCTAACGCCTCATTCCCACCTACTACTTTGCACAGGAAGCCATTTCCCTTGTTTTCCATTCTTATTTGTTCACTGGCTTCAAATTCATGGCAGTCCTGCTACTTCAGCATCTTTAGTGCTGGAACTACTGTTATATACTACCACGCCTGGCTTTGTTTTACATTCTTTTGTAAAGCAGTTCTGGGAATTACTTCAATTAAGCAAACAACAGACTTTTACATTTGGCATTTATGGCAAGGTAATCACAATGTGGTATAGAGAGAAAGACAAACATGAGCTTTTAAATGAGTAACATTAGAAATTGAAGACTCACTCTGCCAAGCCTAGGCTGTGTAACCATGAGCAGGAGTCTTCTTTGGGACAACCAAATTTTCTTATTTGTAAAATGAAGCAGTTAGTCTAATTCTTTTCCTGTTCTAAGCATCTAGTTTTGCCTTTCTCTTCACTTCTTCTCCCCTCCCTAGGAGTGCTTTGAAGAGGACCCAGGCCGTAAGTGGATGGATGGCTTGCTCAGTAACCTTTGGTGCCAGGCTGGATCCTTCATCGATAGCTACCGCTATTTCCAGCCAAAACAGGAGAAGTCTTTTACCTGCTGGTCGGTGGTTAGTGGTGCACGCCATCTCAACTACGGCTCCCGGCTTGACTATATACTGGGGGATAGGACTCTGGTCATAGACACCTTCCAGGCCTCCTTCTTGCTCCCTGAAGTGATGGGCTCTGACCACTGCCCTGTGGGAGCCATCTTGAATGTGTCCTGTATGCCAGCAAAACAGTGCCCAGCCCTGTGCACACGCTTCCTCCCTGAGTTTGCAGGTACCCAGCTCAAGATTCTTCGCTTCTTAGTTCCTTGTAAACAAGAACCTGTGCTGGGGCAGCCAGCCCTGCAGCCCAACAACCGAACTCAGGTACAGAAACAGCAAAAGAAAGGCCCCGTGAGTTCAGCCAGGCCTCGGAAAAGTCAAGCTGGCTCCAGAAGTCAGAAAAACCTCATGAGCTACTTCCAGTCTTCTTTTAGCCTTCCCCAAACTTCTCCTGTTGTGGAACTACCTAGCCTGCCTCCGGTGGGCACTTTCATAACCCCAAAGACTGCAGAAGAGGATACGATGGCCACGATAGTGGAAGAGCAGGCCAAGGTTTTCGAGACCAAAGATAAGAAGGAGGTACAGACCTTGTTCTGGAAGTCTATGCTGAGTGGACCCTCACCCATGCCCCTTTGCAGAGGCCACAGGGAGCCATGTGTAATGCGTACTGTAAAGAAACCAGGACCCAACCTGGGCCGCCGCTTCTACATATGTGCTAGGCCACGAGGTCCTCCCAGTGACCTCTCCGCCCGCTGTAGCTTCTTCCTCTGGAGTAGGCCTAGCTGAAATGGCTGAGGCCTAGGGATACCTAGCATGGTCACCCCGACACAGTCTGATGCCAGTCCCTCCTCCTAAGCTGCCTTCTCCTAGGCTTCCCTCCTTCTTTCTTCCTCTTCTCCCTGTTCCTGCCTTTCTTTCCCTTCTTCCCCTAAGGCTTTCCTCCCTCTTCTCTCACCTCGCTTTCTTTCTCTTTGTACATACAAGAACCAGTTTCCCATGTATTTTTACATAAATAAAGTCTGTGTCTTTGTTTCAGTGTACCACATTCACTAGACATTTTACATGTTCTCTAGAAAGCTTGGTCAGAGAGGTTATCTCAGTGCTGGGTTTGCTGGCCCTTTACAGCCCAGTGAGATAACTCCAAGGGAGAAGGGTAGAGGGAGGAGCGGTGTTCCCCATGAAGGAATCTGAGCTCAGGGATTGTCTGCACTGCTGAGGTAGGATCAGTGAAGAAGGAGGCTATGATATGGGCTGTGTAGACTTAAACAAGAGCTTCCCAACTAGTGTGTTCCTCAGCTATACCAAATGAGTCACCAAAGGGAAAGAAAGGGTGTCTCAGCCATCAGAGTTGGACTTGAGGTACCACAGTCTCAGGGAAGATTGCTACTTCAACCAGTAGAGTTATAAGTCCCTATAGGGAGCCTTTCCTTAAACATGTTGCATACTATAGCCAAGCTTCTTTCTTTACCTTGAAAAAGGGTGGTAAATCTTGTAAGATGCCATGGGAGGGAAAAAGAATAGTGGCTTCATAGATGTTCATTTCACATTCTAGAAGATTTCTTGGTTTGGGAAAACCATTACTCTGTTCTTAGGATCTACTCTATCTCCTGCTTTTAGAGGCTACCAGGGCCCAGCCTTCCAGGTCTACCAGTGAAGAATAGAGCTGCAAATTTTTGTTGAAACCATTGGGAAAGCCATTTCAAGTCTGCTAATGGTTTTGGCTCTTTGTACAACTTTCAGTATAGTTTGGGAGCATTTCTTTCCTCTTTCTAAATCCGGGTTTCCTTGTCAGTAAAATATAGTGGTCAGATCAAACAAGTAAACTGTGGCTACTTGCCCAAGCCAGTCAGCGTAGTGCATTTGTCTGTTCTTTGTCTAACAAAGGGCCTCAAACTCTGCATATTGCTCTTTATTTTCAGAATCAAATCAGCTAGAAGCACACAACAAAGCAGAGATCAGGAAGAGGCCCAGCCCCAAGTGTAGTGCAGGTGGGGTGAGCATCTGAGCGAGGCAGCTGGCTTTTCAGGCATAGGTGGTAACATATTGGGGCCCCATGTTCCCAAAGTAGGATCGTTCCCATTCACTCATAAGCTCAAAGTGCACAGGACGTTGACAGAAATTGCAGGCAGCCACAGACACATCCTGGAGGGGCAGCCCCACCTCAGTCCAGGTTAGCAACAGCTTCTCTGAAAGTGGTTAAGAGAAGAAAAAATTGGTTAATCTTGGTCTTCCAAATCTTTGGTGCATTATAAATGTGCCAAGATAGTGATCCACTCACTCCTTTGATGTGCGTGGGCCCAGAAGTAGAGTTATTTGTTTGCTCCAATGTGGGCCATGAATTTGTTAATGGGTGCTGAGATGTATAAAGATCAGGAATCATTTCTCTGACAATTTTAAATCATATATATGCTTTGGGCATGTGCAGGCTAAAAAGTGAATATATGTGCTTGGAAAGTCCTAGCCTGATGACGATGACACTAAGAGTAATCATGCTATGGTATTAGTGTTGTGACTAGGCATCCTGGGACCGGGCAGGGGGCTATTCCCAGGGTGTGAAGGGACCCAGAGGAAGGACCCTGACCTAGCTATAGGAAGTACTTCAGGTGTGTGCCAGGGCTCTGTTCTAGGCCATTTTCATGCTCATCCCTTGCTAGTTTGGTTTAGTCTGATGTTCTTAAACACCATCTACATGCTGATAATTCTGAATTTTTTTATTTTTAAAAAATATTTGTTAGGCTTAAAAATGCATGCTTTCATAATTTAAATCACTCATTTGACATTTACACAAAACCCAGAGGCAACTCTCATTTTATGAGAAAAAGAAGCATCAACCTATGTGTCCCTACCTTTCTAAATATAGCATCTAACAAAGGAGAAAAGTACTGGATGTCCACCACACTTTACCACAAACTTCAGATGGGCCAGACATGCCTAGCAATGGTTTCTTAAGGACAGTCAATATTCTGCCCACAAACATACTTAGAGTCAACATAAAGATTTAAGATATGGTACCAAGTCTATTTCAAATATCTTCAGTTCCTCATGACTGTGATACATGGAGTGTAACATTTTGCAGAACATTTTAGCAGTTACAGTTCATGTTTTGAGTAGCATATGTGACATGTGACAGTGTCCTTTTGCTTTTCAGATTTTTTAAGGAATACGAAAATTTTTAGAATATATTTACACTTTGCAAGGTCATTTCTCCTAATTGCGGCATCTTTGAAATGCCATGTCATTTTATCACTCTTCTAATCTATAAAATGCTATGATACATTTTAAGAGCTTTATTCTATACTTGGCCTTTTAAAAGCATCATGCTTTATGGCCCATCAGATACATAGTGACAGTAATCACAGATGTTTTGTGCATAGTATAAGCTATGATCAGGGCCTTTTATTTCACTTGTATATGCTTAACACAAAAAATAAATCTAATGAATGCTAAGTCATGGAAAAATGAACCATTAATGTATAATTGAAAATACAATATACAAAAATAGTTTATTTTATTCATTTGCTTATTATTTTATGTGTATGAATGTTTTGTCTGCATGTATGTAAGTGCACCCATGTCGTGCAATGCCCACAGAAGTCAGAAGAGGCCATCAGATCCCCAGGAACTGGAGTTAAGGATGGTTGTTAGCCACCATGTGGGTGCTGGGAACAGAACTCAGTTCCTCTGCAAAAGCAGGCAGTGCTCTTAACCACTGAGCAATCTCTCCAGCCCCATAATTCTGAAAATTTTATTTCCAGTTTCCCCAGAACTCTGTCTCAATTTCCAGACTTGTATATTCAATGGCATCTCTGCATCCCTGCTGTGCTGTCTGATGGATACAACTGAACTCCTCGTATCTCTACCCCCCACTAAGCCTGTTCTGCTTTCAGTCTTCCTCTTGTCAGTCGATGGCAATCACAATTTCTAATCCCAAAATCCCAGGGTCAGCTTTTATTTTTCATTATCTATTTTACGCTGCATTTAGTTTTATCAGAAAATATCATTGCCTCAACCTTCTAACCACTTTCATCATCTTTCACTGCTATTATCATGTCTGAGCCACTATCAACTCTCACCTAGAATATTACAGTAAACTCCTACTGGGTCTCCCTGTTTTTACACTTTCTCCTTTCAATATGACCTGAGCATAGAAGTTGGAACAATTCTGTTAAAACTTAAGGTTAACAAGGTGTAGTAGTTCTTGTGTCTCTAATTCCAGCACTTGAGAGGTTGAGGCAGGAGGATCAGGAGATTCAGGTCAAGCTTAGGCTACATAATGAGACCCTATCTCAAAAAACAAGGAAACAGGGCTAGGGAGATGTGTTAGTGGGTAAAGGTGCTTGCCATGCAAGCCTGACAACCTGAGCTCTATCTCTGGAATCCAGGTAAATGTGGAAGGAAAGAACTGACTCCAGAAAGTTGTCCTCTGACCATGACATGTGTACTGTGGCATGCACCCCCACACACATCATATACACACAAACAATTTTTTTAAAACAAACAACAAAAACAAGTCAAATTTGGGAGTGGTGACACATACCTGTAACCTTAGCATTTGGAAGGTTAAGACAGTAGTGTATTCTCTACTGTCTACACACCTAGTTCAAGGCCAGCCTAGACTACATGAGACCCTGTCTAAAAACAAAAAACCCAAACCACAACAACAAAAACTCAAGTTAAATATGTCAGCCTTCTGCTTAGTTCCTTTCAAAGGATCTTGGAGTAAAATCTCAAATCTTCCAGTGGCCTGCAATATTCTATACAATCTCCTCCATGTTGTCTCTTGTCTGTTCAATTTTTCTGCTTCTCTATCCACTCATCTTTTTGTTCCCCAAATATGAAAAGAATATTTCTGTGTTTGAGTATTTGACTCGGGTTGCTCTCTGCCTGGGGTGCTGGTCTTTTACATATTTGCCCAGCTGACTCCTTTGTCTCTCGTAAACCTTTGCTCAGGGTCACTGCAGTGTTCTCTTCCTTTGCCACTCTAATACTACAGGCCTCCTCCAACCAGTCCTTGCCTTCAGCACTTCCTGCTTTGTTTTCCCATAGCTCTTTGAACTAACATGCTATTTGTTTTTTTTTTTTTTTTTTGATTTGTTTTTTTTTTTTTTTTTTTTTGGTCTTTTTGAGACAAGGTTTCTCTGTAGCCACAGCTGGCCTGGATTTGCTAATGGAGACCAGGCTGGCCTCGAACTCACAGAGATGCACCTGCCTCTGCCTCCCACGTGCTGGGATTAAAGGTGTGTACCACCATGCCCCGCTTTGATTTGCTTAGTTTTTAAAGTTTACCATTCGTTTGTATTAGAATTCAGCTCCAGAAGGGTAGAGTTTTGTGACTGTTTTGTTTACTACTAGATCCCTAGCACCTAGAACAGTGTCTAGCCCATAGTTAGTACACAGTAAATATTTGTTGAAGGAATGAATGAAAATATGCCTAAGACTAGATAAAGGGAAGTAAGCTAGAAGGGACAAAGAATGACTTTCCAATCAGAAAGGGGCAGATTCAGCAAAGATCCAGAGTCAAGAGAGCAAAGCCCTAGGAGGGGACCCAAATTCATTGGGCATGGCTAGAGAAATCAAATACATGTGGCAGGTGAAGAGAGGACATAAACACCACCATGTAGAAGACACTGAATGTCATGCCAAGAACTTCAACTCTGTTCTTTAAGCTTGGGGTCTCTACAAATTTTTGAAGTAAACATCCCTATCAGTACAAATGGTTTACCATGTACCTCCAATCTGTATATTTATGCATTAATACATTTATCATGGTCGTCCTGTATATTAAGTTCAGTATCAGTAACGCTTAATTTCCCATTTTTAAGATAGAAAGAAACATAAAACTCTGATACTATTTCCTCAGCCTGTGCATCATCTAGAGTATATCGGTAATAGGGACTTAGATAAGGTAGCAACGGACAATGAGGATGTTTAGGAAAGAAAGCGATGTCAGGTTTTTTTTAAAAATCCCTCTGCTGGTCAATGTAGAGAAGAGTTTGGAAGGGAAAAGGGGAATCAATGAAATAAAGAAGAATTTTAAAGAAATGACAGCAGAGAAAGGAGAATAGACGTGAGAGAGATTGTAGAGATTTGCAGAATTTCAGGATTGGTTGGCTGTGGGACTAAGGGACTTGTGGAATAGTGGTAGATGATGCTTGTATATATTCCCTGCAAAGGCCCAGACTAAGTGAATGCTCAGAGACCTGAGAACACTGAGAGCTCTAGAACTGAAGTCCAAACCAATAGAGGAGACTGAACAAAAAGTCTGAGTCCAAATCATCTGCTCAGAAAAGCAATAGACCTAGTAGTTTTGACCATGGAGATGGAGACAGGACCCCTGGCCCCCATTTAGTGCCTATGTGACCATAACTTGTGTTTCTACGCTTCAGTTTGTACACATATAAAATGGAAATTATGACAACATCTCTTTCTTAAAGATTAAATAGGTCAATACATGTAAAGTGTTGAAAACAGTGGCACATGGTAAATAAAATTTAGACATGACTGTTTAACACTGTAAAGTGAATGTGTGAATTAATGGCACTTATCTATCTTATCTTTCTCAAATTCTCATACTGCATATGCTTTGGATGGAATAACTTGCCAATACATGCCTTCTCCCTTCCTATCTGTAAGTTATTGCTTTTGGAATTCCTTTATTCTGGATTGTCTTGTCACTTGTACTTCATTGTGGACCACAAAGACTGGCTTACCCATAAAGCCTTTCCAGTTTTACTTTTCTCACTCTCTGTAGCCACTACAACTCATCATTGGACTATGTCTGTGGACCATGTCACATTACACATTGTCTGTTTCTGTCTTCCATGCCATTCATTGCCTATGTATTTTACCCAAGAGACCTGAGATGATGTGTGACAAGTTCTATGTTTTAAAAAAAATGTGTACCCAAAAGAAAAGCAGTAAACTTTGAATGAATACATTAAATTTCCAACTTCCAGGGTAAAACCTAAACTACTCACCTCAGCTCTACAGGCTTCTAAACCTAGTCCTCTGCCACTCCATTGCTGCCATCCTACATTTGTAATTCCTGCCTATTGTTTTTCCTTGTTGTTTTTGAGATGTGACATCATGTGCCCCACACTTTGGCCTCAAACTGGCTATGTAAACAAAATGACCCTGAGCTCCTGATCCTCCTGATTCTACCTTCAAAGTGATGGGATTATAGGCATGAACCACCATGCCCATCTGTTACTGTTCTTCATATATCTCAAGCTCCTTCTTACCCACCTCCTTTCCTTTCTTCATGTTCTTTCCTTTTTCAGAAATACCTCTTCTCAACCTTCTTTCTTCTCTTGGTCCAGCACCACTCACTTTGTAAGAGTCAGCTGAGGTATCCTGTCCCCTAGGAAGCCTGTCTTGAATCCTGCAGGTTGGGTCAGGTGCCCCTCCTGTCTGCTCCCACAATTTCCCCATGTATGATCTTTGTTAAGCTTTGATCTCCCCTGAATATTACTGTTTGTGCCCCCCATTGTTCCTCTATGGTCTCCCTAGCTAAACTAGAGTGCAGTGAGTCTATGAGCTATTTCTCATTCATTTGTGATCCAGATATAGAGCCTGGTACACAACAGATGTTTCTAGAAATATTTCCTAAATTGAGTGGAATCTTGTCCATTCAGCTTCTTTAGATCCTGGGGCTGAGTGTTAAGGAAGTATAGGTACCCATGTTGCAGACTTACCCACAAAATTTTCCATCATCTGAGGAGTGTGGTGGGGGGAGGGTGCCAAGCGCAGCAGCTCCTCACCCCGAGGTACAGTTGGGTAGTTGATGGCCTGCACATAGATGTTATGCTTGGAGAGCAAGAGATCGCAGATCTTGCTGTTGAGTGCTGCATCACCCACCTGGGCTCAAGAGAAAGGCTTTTCAGTACCTATCACCCCGAGTCCACCACTGCACACCAGCTCTAATAAGCAAGTGAAAAGGAATCAGATCAAGGAACATCACTGAATGTGTGGGCAGATTTCTTTCCGTAAAGGGCTTAAGCACTGACAGCTCCAGAATCTTTGTTTTAAGGAGGAGCCCAGAGCCAGCAATCAAAGTTGAAGGAGGGGTAGGGCTAGCATCAAGAGCTTTGTCTTGACACTATTTGTAAAGCAAGCACATTCATTAAATTGGGGTGGGTCTAGGTGAGAAGAAAAATCTACCAGGCTACCTCTGGGTTGCTGTCACTGGGTTAATTTAAAAAATTAGGTATTTTAAAAAGCCGTCTTTCAAGGGAACACTGGGTTAGCCTATTGAACAGTGACTAAAGTTGGGCCTCTTTCTGTATGTTCCACATCCAGGTATTCAACCAGCCTCAAATAAAAAGAAAGTTTAAGATGTGCTTATGCACAGGCTTTCTTGTTGCTATTCCCTAAACAGTAGAGTTTAACAACTAAGTAGCTTTTACATTGAATTCGTTATCATTGATAATCTAGAGATAATTTAATGTATCTGGGAGGATTGAGCAGATTATGTGAAAATCCTAAACTATTTTGTACAAAGGGACTTGAGCATTTATGGATTTTTAGGTTTGTGGGGGGTGGTTC